ATATTATCTCCGCATATGCCTTCGGAGAAAGCATCTGTCATTAATTTAATGTTTTTTAGTTTTTTTTCATAAAATAAAATAGTACCTATGTATATGTTATTCGGTGGAAAATGTATTTTTGTGCTTCGCTCAATTGCTTTGCCGCGGCGAAAAGTGGCTGCAATATTTTAAGCTCAGCACAAAAAGACTCCTCCTAATGACATATTCTATTATTTCATTAAAAAAAAGTTCACAACGTTCAAATAGGTACTTGAGAGCAAGCTCCGTATTTCTCAGCAATATATTTAAACTTTAAATGCTAGCACACAATTTTTAAATAAATAAGTAGTTTTTTCACAAAAGAAAGGAAGTTTTACTTGACAAATTTTGTTCGCAAAGTTTCAATGGCACAGCTTAACCGCGCACGTTATTTGTGTTTCGCGTTACAAGTAAAAACTAAAAAACTTTGCTTGGGTTAGTACTCGATTTCCATTTATTATTCTTCATAATCATAGTAAATTATTGTGTTAATATTTTTTAATCTAATTCAAAAATCAAACCGACGTTGCATTTTTAGGTTTTGGTAAATAATCCAATTCAGTACGTATATTTGTTGGTGCAGAACTAACTAATAATGTCTTTACCTAATATAATTTATATTTAAGTTTGTACATTTTTAAGAAATCTTACACAAAATATTAATTATACAAAAATAACCTTAAAATCAAACATTTTATATTTGAGTCCTGACAACTGAATTTTTCATTAGTAAAAAAATATCTACGAATTTATGGCAACATATATATAATAATAATATAATACCCGTATTTGGTCTTTTACCGTTGAGTGACTCTTAATAAACGCATTTAATAATTCATAATGCTGTTTGCATTTAGACGACTGTTTTGTTTTATGATTTTTACTGAATTTAAATGTTTACAATTTTCACGTAAATCATTAATAAAATGTTTATTTATTGTATCTAATAGGTACAGTGCCGAAACGGAATTTTGTAATTTTTGTTGTACATGTATAAATCTGTAAATAGCAAAGATACACTAGATAACCGGAAGTAAGGTTAGTAGTCCATAAAGAAAGTTTAGATTTTGATACCATCGGGATAATCATCCTTCAAAATGTGTTTGCCATATTACATAATATATTTACAGGGGAGGTATGCAATTTATTTCTTATCCCTGTTTATTGGGAAACCGGAAAAAACTCCGGATTTTCTCTCGACAACAACACAAAAAATCGTTCCACGGTTTTTTCTCTCGACATTTTTAAAATGTTTCGGCTTTATTCTCAAAAACACTTGTTTGTAACATACCTGGTGTATCAAAGCACCACAGGTTAATAAAAGAAGAGATTGTACTTACACCCAGTAAACATTTGTGATTGCGTATTGAAATCACTCCGAAATCTCGTCTTGAAATCGTGATATCACTGACGCATTCATATGTTTCCACAATACACAATCAATGGGATATCAAGTCGTGACATTCAAGCGCAATACGCACTCAATGGGATATCACTCCGTGACATTGCTAGCGCGCATGCGCGAGCGAAAGTGCAGGGGAATATTTAAAACATGTTGGAGCTCTGATAAACGAAAAAAGCGTCGTCGCTATCGTTTATTGCGATGTAACGTCTTTTAAAACACGTTGCATCGCTAGTAACAATAGCGATGACCCTCTTATCGTATATCACAGCTTCAACAAACTTGCGGCCTTGGGTGAAATAAAATTATGGGCTAAAATATTAACAGTCAACATTTATTTAAATAAAATAATAATAAGACAAGTTTTGCACACTACCTTTATACAGGGTGCATCAAGTATCCTAATTACAATGCTTCAAACCTCTGTTGTAGGACGTTTTTGCCAATCTGGACAGGCATGCATTTTATTATTATGTTTTTTAGCTCTATGCTAAAATGGAACAACAAAATTTTCGCAAAAATGACACACGGCGATGTATTTTACCGCAACACCACCGCGCAACAAAAAATGTGTCTAATACGAACACTTTGTATAAGGCGTTAGCTTTAAAACAGTTCACCTTTGTTAATAGGACATAATAATTTAAATAAAAAAACAAAATCTTCAGAAAAGATAGGATCCCAGGGTGTCACAACTTTCGGGAAATTCTTTCTTTTGCTCTAGCAGAGCATTTTTACTGAAGAGACAAGCTACAACGTTAAAAACCCTCAAAATCAGATTAGCAATTCGCGAGTATATAAATTGTAAATTTTGTCCAATTTCTGGTGTCCGGTTTTTTTGCCGGTAAGTGTAATATTAATATTATAATTGAAAAAACAAGGTAACAACAAATCACGATTTATACTATCTACGAATTTAAACACACAATTTTTGATTTCAAGTGATTTAAAAACTCGAATTACTAATGATATTTAATAATTTTAGGAACATTTTAATTAATTAATAATAAAAATATTATATGCTAAAGAAGCATCGTATAATTAAAATGCAGCTTTTAATAAGTAGCTGCCAATGTTGGCGCCAAGTATTCGAGTTGTCGATGCGACTTTGGTTACATAACCTTTATTTTGTGTCATTGTTAGTTGAGAGTCTCAACTTAATACTATCAATAATATCTTTGATACTTATATGTTAAAAAATAGTTATCCATGATAACTATAACAAAAATAACATAACATAATAATAATAATAAAAAATATATAACATAAGAAGAATACATCATAAAATATAAATAAAATAAATAATATATAACATACATAAACAAAATACAGATAATATATAGATAATGTATAACTGCCCAGTAAACATTTGTGATATCACGAAAAAGTCAAGACGTGACATGTCACAACTTGATATCCAATTGCTGGCACAGTGATTAAGTTTGTCGTTTTATGTCAGCAGTGACACGCGCGTGATCTTTTTATGTCACGACGTGACCCCGCAGGGACGAAACTTTTCATTTAAATGACATTACTTTAATTTGGTCATAAAACGTTAATTACGTACCTATTATGTTATTATTGTTAGACACGTTATAGGTTAATGCTTTTAAACAATTATTTCCCCAAAAATATATAACTTCACTTTATATTTGTTTGCGATTTTGCAAGCGAAGAAAAAAATTAAATTCGTTTCCGTTTTATTTTTAATTTATAAATAATAATAAACTTAAAAAAAAGCAGTATCATAATCAAAAATTTTATTTTAAATAACTATTTGGGATGTTTCAGCGCCGCCTCTGGATTAACTAAATTTAATTTACATTAAATTAAGCCCTTTGCCTACTACTAAAAACCTAAAAGGTTTTATCAAATTCGCCCAAAAAATAAATATTTTTTTTAATAACTTTACCACCCTGCCTCTCGAAAACGAAGCTTTAAAACATAAATACTTTTCTTCTGATATTTTCGATTTCTATAGATCACTAAATTTTCCCAATTAAAATCTGCGACACCCTGTATACATGTAGGTATTATACTTATAGCCCAGCAAACACACTAGTCCGGCCATGCAATGGCACATTAATGGGCCTGGCATGGCCGGAATAGTGTGTTTGCTGGGCTATAAGTATAATACCTACATGTATACAGGGTGTCGCAGATTTTAATTGGGAAAATTTAGTGATCTATAGAAATCGAAAATATCAGAAGAAAAGTATTTATGTTTTAAAGCTTCGTTTTCGAGAGGCAGGGTGGTAAAGTTATTAAAAAAAATATTTATTTTTTGGGCGAATTTGATAAAACCTTTTAGGTTTTTAGTAGTAGGCAAAGGGCTTAATTTAATGTAAATTAAATTTAGTTAATCCAGAGGCGGCGCTGAAACATCCCAAATAGTTATTTAAAATAAAATTTTTGATTATGATACTGCTTTTTTTTAAGTTTATTATTATTTATAAATTAAAAATAAAACGGAAACGAATTTAATTTTTTTCTTCGCTTGCAAAATCGCAAACAAATATAAAGTGAAGTTATATATTTTTGGGGAAATAATTGTTTAAAAGCATTAACCTATAACGTGTCTAACAATAATAACATAATAGGTACGTAATTAACGTTTTATGACCAAATTAAAGTAATGTCATTTAAATGAAAAGTTTCGTCCCTGCGGGGTCACGTCGTGACATAAAAAGATCACGCGCGTGTCACTGCTGACATAAAACGACAAACTTAATCACTGTGCCAGCAATTGGATATCAAGTTGTGACATGTCACGTCTTGACTTTTTCGTGATATCACAAATGTTTACTGGGCAGTTATACATTATCTATATATTATCTGTATTTTGTTTATGTATGTTATATATTATTTATTTTATTTATATTTTATGATGTATTCTTCTTATGTTATATATTTTTTATTATTATTATTATGTTATGTTATTTTTGTTATAGTTATCATGGATAACTATTTTTTAACATATAAGTATCAAAGATATTATTGATAGTATTAAGTTGAGACTCTCAACTAACAATGACACAAAATAAAGGTTATGTAACCAAAGTCGCATCGACAACTCGAATACTTGGCGCCAACATTGGCAGCTACTTATTAAAAGCTGCATTTTAATTATACGATGCTTCTTTAGCATATAATATTTTTAATATTAATTAATTAAAATGTTCCTAAAATTATTAAATATCATTAGTAATTCGAGTTTTTAAATCACTTGAAATCAAAAATTGTGTGTTTAAATTCGTAGATAGTATAAATCGTGATTTGTTGTTACCTTGTTTTTTCAATTATAATATTAATATTACACTTACCGGCAAAAAAACCGGACACCAGAAATTGGACAAAATTTACAATTTATATACTCGCGAATTGCTAATCTGATTTTGAGGGTTTTTAACGTTGTAGCTTGTCTCTTCAGTAAAAATGCTCTGCTAGACAATTTTTTTCAGATTTTAATTTGAGCAAAAGAAAGAATTTCCCGAAAGTTGTGACACCCTGGGATCCTATCTTTTCTGAAGATTTTGTTTTTTTATTTAAATTATTATGTCCTATTAACAAAGGTGAACTGTTTTAAAGCTAACGCCTTATACAAAGTGTTCGTATTAGACACATTTTTTGTTGCGCGGTGGTGTTGCGGTAAAATACATCGCCGTGTGTCATTTTTGCGAAAATTTTGTTGTTCCATTTTAGCATAGAGCTAAAAAACATAATAATAAAATGCATGCCTGTCCAGATTGGCAAAAACGTCCTACAACAGAGGTTTGAAGCATTGTAACTAAATAAAAAAATCATTACAATCAGATAAGTGGTTCGCGAGGAAAATCATATATTGTTTCCAATTTCTGGTGGTCGGTTTTTTGCCGGTAAGTGCACTTTTACATGAATAACAATAATATAATAAGTGTAAAAATTTGTATTACCAAAAGGAATAAAAAAATACAAATCGCGACTTTAAAAACAAACAAAAACAAATTTTTTGATTCCGAGTTATTTAAAACAAAAACTTCAATTAGTAATGATTTTTAATCATTTTATAAATAGAATGGTATTATTTTTATTTTATTAGGTTTGTTAATAATTTACGATATTTGTAAATATGTTTTATATAATGTCATTATTTAAAGTTAAAGTGGGTCACACCAGCCTCCACTCTAGGGGGTGTTCAAGTATTATGTAAACAAACGTTCTGTGATTTTAAACCCTCACCCTTCCTGTATAAACCAAAATAGAAAAACCATAAACCCCTTCTTCCTCAAATGATACGTAAGAATTTTTTAAATATTTTTATTAAACATTAAAATGGAAACTTAATTAATCAAAATAACAAAATTTAGGTATTGTTTCTAGAAGAAATTAAGAGCACAATTTTCCGTAGGTGATTTTTGATAAGAAACTTTTGTGTCACTTATAAAAAGGACGAGTGTTATTTACCGGTATTTTATGCACTCAGTAACCAAAACTAATACCGATATACGGATTGCTATGCATTAACAAATATCGCAAAATATTAATTCCTACATAATTTATTATTTAGGTAGATATTTATTATTATTGTTATCAACGTAAAATATTCCCTGTTCATATTATGTATAACTTTTGTAAATTAAATAATTATATTTTGCATCTAATATTTTAAATTTAAAACTCATAATCAAACAAAAGAATTATAATATAATATATATATATACTCTCTTAAAATGAATTAGTCAAAAATAACTAATTATAAGTCATATTTGACTAATTGTCATAGTGAAAAAGCAGTCACTAATAATTAGTCAAATTCCACTGAATGAAATAGTCAAATTAGTAAATTTAAATTTAAAAAAAGTTTTGATCCAGCCTGGGATTGAACTCGGGTCTGTCACTTGACATGTTTGTCAAGCTAACGTCTTAACGCATTCGGCTGTCAGCCGCTCTTATAAAAATTAATTTTATTTGTGAATAAATATGGTTCATAATATTTTAAAGTTTAATATATTATTTGTATTGCTATTTTAAGCTAAACTTTTTGCATCTTTATTTGTTTTATGGGTCATTTAACCATGGAGAGGTATATGCATTTAATTCAAATAATACTTTGTTGTTGGCCGTAAACGACTAAAGAAATTAGTTACTTTTAACTGTCAGAAATAGTCAAATATGGTGACTAATCTTAAATTAGTCAAACTTTAACTATTTACATAGTAAAAAATAACTATTTAAAAGTGAAAACGACTATTTTATTAGTAAAAAATGCTTTTACTAATTCAAATAGTAGAATTTTGACTATTTCATTTTTAGAGAGTATATATATATATATAAGGTAAGGTGGGGTAATTGTAAGATTGGGGTAAATGTAACATCTTGCGATAAAATTCTTACTTAAAGTAGTAAATAAAAGCAAACGAATAAAAACGCACGCTGTTGTCTTGGGTTGCATATCTAAGTAGAGAAATCCCGACAACTACTGCGCAGTACCACTTGGTTACTTAAGTACATAATAATAAATCGTTTTTTCCTTTTTGTATTAACCGCAAAGTCTGTTAATTCTTAAATTAAAAATAAAAAAAAATTTCACACCTTATGATTATTAACGGATTCACACGATTTTACACCAAAATAATCCTATTTTTTTCCTCTTTTACATTAGCCCCATACCCACTACAAATGCATTAATAGTGTAATGTAATTAGCCGCTAACACATTTGCCCCATTTTTTGGGGCAAATGCAATATGTTAGGAACGTTTAAAAAAAAAATATGTAATTTTTTAGCCCTTAGTTCCTAACGTTTTATACTTTAGAATATAATTCTTGAGTAGTTGGGCTATATAATGAGCTTTGGGTTTGGTTTAGTTTTATCACTCCTTACTTTTAATTCAAGAGACAATCCCAACTAGTAAAAAAACATATCGCAATTACCCCACCTTACCTTATATATATATATATATTAGGGTGTCCCTTATTTTTATTTTTTTACGCATACCCTCTACTTATATTTATTACGTGTTTATACACTCCCAGTAAAAATTTCAGCTCATTCTATAAACGGGAACCCGTGCCGACGTGCATCTGAACCCTCCGTTAGCCAACGTGGTATTTTGTAACACGGTTGGTCGCGAGGTCTTCGATCGTAAGTCATTTTGTGTTTGTGATTATGTGACCCTTATATTATAAATTATTGACAAATGTTAAAATATAATTTTATTTATGTGTATACTTTGATAAAAATGTATATTTTCACAGGGAGTGGCCAGTTACCAGGAAGGGTCTGATGAATAGGCCGTAAACTCTGAAATTGATAAACTTAATGGGTTTTACTCTAAATAACTAAAAGAGTCTATTGTAAGAGATGACTACCGAAAACTTATTGAACTCTCTGAAATATTTTTGGGAGGACATCAAGAAAAGAAATGCTTATAAAAAGCTGAAATTTCATATAACAGTATATTTTAGCAATACTAATTAGTATATTAATATATTTAAGGAATAAAATCAACTAAATTAGTTAAACAAATGATAGAAACAAAAGCAATAATATTTTTTTTTGTAATTAGTAATCATATTTAATAAAATCATTAGAAAAATACAGTCATAAAGTATATCTTCTTTTTAAAGTGTTTCGTGTTACAAAATACCGCGCGCGCCTAACGTTGGCTAACGGAGGGTTTAGATGCAAGTCGGCACGGGTTCCCGTTTATAGAATGAGCTGAAATTTTTACTGGGAGTATATAAACAAGTAATAAATATAATTAGAGGGTATGCGTAAAAAAAATAAAAATAAGGGACACCCTAATATATATATTATTATTATTTTAAATTTAAAATATTACATGCAAAATATAATTATTTAATTAACAAAAGTTATATATACATAATATGAACAGGGAATATTTTACGTTGATAACAATAATAATAAAAATCCGTTTATCGGTATATATATATATATATATATGTATATATATATAATATAGTATATTAAAAAGTAAACAATTCTTAACAATCCGCAATTTACTAATGACTTCACGGTACAAAAATCTGTTATACTTTCGAAATTCGAGAGACACTTTATATTTTTTATTATTTAGCATTAGTAAGATATCATGTCAGTAAAAGCCTCTTCAGATTTTGGTCTTTTTAAGGACATTCAAATTAAAAAACAAACATTTTCGTATAAGTATATTTTAGCTTCGAGTGTAATTAGTTTAATACTTTTAGTGGTAAGTTTTATTTTAAAACCATTTTTTAAACATTATTTACTACACCTTGGTCTAGGAGCAATGTAAAGTTTTAGTACTTAAGCAATTCATTTTATATTACCTTTTTTAATGCCAATAAGGTTTACCAAGAAAAACAAGCATTTTTAATAGTCTTTACATAGCTGTGTTACAAATATTTTTTATTCTTCCTGCATTATAATCTATCAGTTTAACATTTAAAAGCGTTTATAAAACACACTGCGAGAAATATGTTATATGTATAGATGATATGAATTGTAGGTTAAATAAATAAAATGTTCGACCAAAGCTCCGGCTTGTTCTAAAAATGCCACCTTCGGCCAAACTACAGAGTGGGCCAAACACACCCCCAAAAGTCCCACCCCTTGACTCATACAAATAATTAAAGTTATATATATGTGTCCACGGATGAACTTAACTATACTTGTAAAAATATTTATTTTGAGTTTTTCGAAGAAAAGTCACTTTTCATAATTTCTTCTGCTTGTTATATAAATACTATTCACGTTGAGAAACTTCTATTTTGTTATACAGGGTACGCAAAAAATATACAATTGTAGTTTTTGCAAAATTAAAAATGGTTAAATATATTTTTTTTAGGTCTAACATGAAGAGAAAAGAGAAACCAAAAAGACAAATAAAGTTTTTTTATGTGAGTTGTTGTTAAAAATAAAATCAATTCAGGTCCTATTATTTTGTAGAAATTGACTGCTATCTTATTTTGTGATTATGAATCAAGGTTGTTTGTTGCTTTCAACTGACATGTCTACAATGTCTACAATTATTTGTAAAAATTTGAAATCTAATATCTTAAATTTTCAATATCAAATATCTTAGTATCAAAAACTCATATGAAACAACTTTTGATTTCTCCTTACAAGCTCTTTATTTTTAATTTTAAAGTAATTATGAAAATGATTTTTCCTCGACAAATTAAAAATAAATATTTTTACAATTATAGTTAAGACCATCCGTGGACACACTGTATATTAGACTGGGCCAAAAAATCAACTATTTTTTTTTAAAGTATATCGAAAATATGGTTTGGGTCGACAAAAAAATTATTGTGAAAGTTTGAGTCCATAATATTATTATTTAGAGGTCTATCATCGCAATTTTAATTTTTTTTTTCCTCATCAAGTTTTTGTCTCAGAACTCCCAAACCATTAAGTTTAACAAAATTTACTCTAATATATTTTTTTAAGAAAATTAAATGCTCTACAAAAAAGGTTAAATAAAATTTTTCGTCAGATGAACCGTTTCCTTAAAATCATGCCCTAAACATTGGTATAGTTTTACATTTTGATCTTTAAACTTTGGAATTTTGAAATTCACGTAAAAATCAGTATCCATAAAAAAACCGATAAATATTCTTATGTGAAATCAAATGTTTTACAAAAAAAGCCTCTTAACATTTTTGGCTAAATTCACTCAATCAAAAGTTATTCAAGGTTAAAGTTAAAGTCAAAACGAAATTCTTGCAAAATTTAACCTTGAATAACTGTTGATGGAGTGAATTTAGCCAAAAATGTTAAGAGGCTTTTTTTGTAAAGCATTTGATTTCACATAAGAATATTTATATATATATATATATATTTAAACAGATTAGGTATTTTTTTAATAAAAAAAACTAACCGGCCATTTTCTTTGTATCTTTATATATATAAATTCGTTTAGTTAAATAAATTTGAACATATTTTTACCCAAAAAGGTTAAAAAGCTTATTTAAAATCGATCCGTAAAAAAATGGTTTTTCTTTAGCTGTAAGAAAATGTCTAAAAACTCATTAATTATAATTATAAAACCATTAATCTTGACATATTACTTACTTTAGTTCAAATTATATGAACTAAAGTAAGTAATATGTCAAGATTAATGGTTTTATATGAGTATTTAGACATTTTCTTACAGCTAAAGAATATATCTCTTAAAATATTAACTTTAGAGATTTGACTTTTTGAACTTTTTTAAAAGACACGTTAAAAGGAAAAAAAACATTAATTTTATAGAAAATTTTACACCTACAGTCACTGCTAAGCAGATGCAGGATTTTTTAAAGAGCATACAGTTCTCTTTAAAACAAACTTTGAAATATTAAAATATATTAATATTAGGCTGAGTTTTATACAAATTAAATAAAAAAAGCAAGATTTTTGTGCTTATAGTCTGAAACTACGTTGCTCCCGTTCCTATTTTAACGTGTAGAAATTTGTTTTTAATAAAAATTAAAAAACCATGTTTGTTTTAAAAGATGCACCATACTGTATATTATAAAATTAGACTTTATAGGACCACTTAAAATATTTTTTTTACTCCCACCTTTAAAACGCCCTTTATCGTACATGTTTCCATGACACTAAGTGACCTTTTAAATACACATTGACAAGTTGTGGCTTTACGGCGCTTTAGTCACGGACTGAAGTTAGCAACAGGTTTTTAGTCACGGGCTAAAGTTTGTTTTAAGTTAGTTGACAATTTTCAAATGTCATACAATCGTTAAAGTGCCTTTCTTGTAAAATAATACTAAATGTGAAAATTATTTTATTATCTTAATACAAAAATACAAAAATATTAAATAGTTTCTCAACGCCAATATTTGAAAAGTTTATATGAACATTGTACTGACCTTTTAATTTCGCCGGCAGTAAACTAAAACTTAAATTCGGGCACGGACTCTATAGAGTAAAGTCCTCACTTATCCTAACTTATTAATATTATTATATTTTAATATTTTTTAGGTCTTAACAATAATATTTAGAAATGAAGACGAAAATAACTCAAAAATGGTAGCAGAAAAATTATATTATCCTGATTCCAACAAAGATTTTATGAAAGCACAGCCTATGCCTTTTAAAACAGCTATGTTGGGCTTAACACCGCAACATTTTACAACAACGACAGAGAAAATTACAACATTAGATTACCCACAGCTTACAAACTATCGAAGCAAATATTACCCGAAAAATATACAGGATATAATAGGTTATGTTAATAAAGATAGTCAAACAAAAAAAGTTCAGGAAAAACAAATTAATCAAGCATCACATAAAGAATATTATAATATATCAGCATATGGTAGTTCTTTTTTAAATAATGATCCATTTTTCCGGTATAAGCCTCAGGATCCAAGTGATATTAACTTGTTGGCCACTGCTAGTTTTAGATTTGCTCCTCCAGTCTGGAGCAACTTTAGAAGAACGACTCCCAAATTTTTAAAAACTTCACCATCAAATTTACAAAGTGTGGAGAATACGCATGAACAATACAATATGAGAAAACCTCTGGTCGTAACATTAAATATATACCCAGAAAAGAATGATTTGGGTCGACTCTTTCATACTTTCAGAAAAAGAAATATTCCATATAAAATAACTCTTGCTGATTCAAAAAAGTTAAAGGGCAAAACAATGATAAGTTTAAATTTATATCCAGATTCAACACATCCATCAAATAAAAATAATAATAACAGGTATATAAAGTACACCAATATATTTTAATAAAATTATTCAATAAACAAAACCTAGTTTTTGTTCCTTAAAACCTGTCCAGAAAATAATACAATCGCAATAACTTCATAAAAGATTTAAGGAAATTTAATTTAATTTTATTAAATAACCCAAAAAATAAACATTTTTTTGAAAACTTAGTAAAAGGTTAAAAATGCGAAATCATAAATTTTGTTAATATTTATTGGACTACCCTTTAAAATTCAGTTTTAGATGCTGGCCGTTCGTTCTAGTTTAAGTAAGTATGAAAACAATTAAAGTATATCAGTTTATTTTTGTAAAGTATACTCTCTTAAAATGAATTAGTCAAAAATAACTAATTATAAGTCATATTTAACTAATTGGCATAGCGAAAAAGCAGTCACTAATAATTAGTCAAATTCTACTGAATGAAATAGTCAAATTAGTAGATTTAAATTTAAAAAAAGTTTTGACCCAGCCGGGGATTGAACTCATGTCTGTCACTTGTCAGCTTGTCAAGCTGTTGTCATAACCCACTCGGCCATTAGCCGCTCTTATAAAAATCAATTTTATTTGTAAATAAATATTTTAAAGTTGAATATATTATTTGTGTTGCTGTTTTGAGCTAAACTTTTTCCATCTTTATTTGTTTTTATGGGTCACTTAACCATGGAGCTTAGGTATATGCATTTAATTCAAATAATACTTTGTTGTTGGCCACAAACGATTAGAGAAATTAGTTACTCTCAGAAATAGTCAAAGATGGTGACTACACTGTTCAAAATTTCTTGACCACTTTAACACCAAATTAACACCATACATGATCTATATCGATACAAACCAAAATGGTGTTAAATGTGGTTCGCTGGTCCGGTGTTAATTCAAATACTAAAATAGTTTAATAATTTAACTTTCACACAGTATTAAAATAAATTTTACCTGGTTTAAATTAAACTCTTTTTCAGTGTTAAATATTATGTGTTTGTGGTCAAATTAAATCATACTACGCAGAAAAAAGGAAAGAAAAAGGAAACAGGAAGTTCCTTGACGCAATACTAGTATATTACCAGTGGTATTATTCCAGAAAATGGAACCTTCAACTCGCTAGAGATAATGTTTTTAGTGCGTTCCACTACCTTAAAATACTTCTAGTATTGACAGCTGTTTCCACCTATTTAAGGTCTCTTTAGTATCGAACAACTTGTAGTGTCACACCAAAGCAAAGGACCACCTGAGCTTATATATTCTTCATGTAAGTCAACAGAGGCGAGATTTAAGAACATCACGTGATCCACACCGCCTTTGCACTTCTCAAATATTTTTAGATGAACACCGTTTTGGTGTTTGATGTATATAAAATTTTCAACCATAAATCATGGTGTTATATTAACACCACTTAGTGTTGGATTTTGACACCATTTTAAGATTACTCTTTACACCGCAGATATTTTAAACAGTGTAATCTTAAATTAGTTAAACTTTAACTATTTACGTAGTAAAAAATAACTATTTAAAAGTGAAAACGACTATTTTATTAGTAAAAAATGCTGGTACTAATTTAAATAGTAGAATTTTGATTATTTCATTTTTAGAGAGTATAAATGTATGATTTGACTAATTGGATGTTAGAATGTTTATTATTAAAAAAGTATGTTCAAGTCTCCCTCATGCTGAGGGAAACTTTAACTAAAATCCATTTTTTCAATATGTAAATAAATATAATATAAAAGTTGTTTACTATCGTCTAGAATCAAAATAAAATCGGTATGAAACATAAACTTTTATTATCATTTATGCAAAAAGCGGTCGAAGTCTTCTGAACGAAATATATATACATTTTAAAATGGAATTTCATATTCAACCATATAGGGAAACCTATATGGAAAGACACATAAAACAGAAACCAGATAAATCCATATAAAAATCCCTAAGTTGTACATTTTAAAATGAAATTCCATATTAAACCATATAGATTTCAAAGTGTAACCCAGGTCGTTCCATATAGGACATATAGAACCATATAAATCCATATTAGTTTCCTTATCTGGATCAATATGGGTTCTATAGGGCATTTTTAATAGGGTGAACCACCTTCACCGCCGACTACACCAATTCCGTTAGCTACTACATCGCAATGGTCAGACGAAGAAGTATACAAAACAGATATCCCGTTCCTGGTATTCTTGTCAATATAAATTCATCGCAGCCAATTGATTAGTCTATTGCCAACAGATGAGTTTAAGAATTAGTTTGTGCTGTAGAATTACTTTGCAAAAGTGAAGGTGATCAATCCAGAGTTAGTCGTTGAAAGGACATTACTATTGTTGAAATGAAATCATTTCTTGGATTCCTATTTCACATGGGGACTATTCTTATAAACAGAATTAACGATTATTGGAAAAAGCACTATTATTTAACTTTTAAACTTTTAAAATGTTTATGAGCCGAAATCGTTTCTTATATATTGAGATCCCTGCATTTTGAAGACCAGAACCAGATAACTCGTACACAAATTGGAAAGATACTTCCACTCCTTAATTTTTTTAATAATAGAATGCATGTCATTTATTACCCGAATAAGGAATTATCAATAGATGAATCCATGGTACTATGGCGTGGAAGCTGAAGTTTCGCCAATACGTTAAAGGAAAACGACATAAGTTTGGCATTAAGTTATACGTACTCTGTGAACCAAATGGTTTATCTCTTAAAGTAATCGTATATTCAGGAGCCGCTGATCACCAATTATCTGGCTGTCAACATACAGAAAAGGTAGTTATGGCTCTTCTGCAAACTAGGTGTTGGCCATGCAGTTTTTATGGACAATTTTTATAATAGCGTAAAATTGATCAGGGATTTATTAGATAACAAAACATATGTTACAGGAACACTGAGATCAAACAGGAAAGAAAATCCTACTGAAGTTGTGTCCAAAAAATCAATTCAATTTGATACGAAGGGAATTTGTGTTATAAAATGGAAAGACCGTAGAGAAATTTTAGCCATTTCCAGCCAATTCAATGCAAAAATGGAGGAGGTAACTACACAACGTGGTCAAATAGTAAAGAAACCCAAGCTCATTAATGAATACAAAAAATTTATGGCCGGTGTTGATCACTGCGATCAAATGTTATCTTCCTGCGAACATAAGTCTTTAATTTGGTATAAAATAATTAGCAATTCATATATTCCAGATGATTCTTTTAAATTCATTTTATTTGTACAGAAAAGGAACTGGTCGCAAAATTTTTTATGAGTTCAGATTAGAAGTGATCGAAAACTTGTTGGGAACATCTCCGCCCGATCCAGTGCCGAAAATAAAACTTTACCATCTCCTAAAATATTGTCCAAAAGCTGAAAACGGAAAGGCAAAAAGAAGAAGGTGTATTTTTTGCTGGAGTAATGACCAAAAGCGCAAGGATTCAATGTATTATTACCCTCAGTGTCCTGGTGGCCCTGGACTTTGTCTTACTCCTTGTTTTAGGTTATATCATACAAACAAATAATGTCTTTTAAAATTTATTTTATTGGTTTCAGGGTTAAACCATTTGTTTTTGCATAAGAGTTAATTTTAATTTATTTTGAGAGGAATTATGTTGTTATTTGATTTTTATTATTTAGATGTTTAAAACTATGTATTTTTAGTTTTTTTTGTGCACTAATAAAATATTAATAATAAATAACATTATTTTACAACATTTTTACATTTTATTAACAAGAACGCGTGGGGCGGCGCGTTTATAGGCACTGAACATGGTTTATCACTCAACCAGTGCCCACAACGCACATGGTGCGTTTTTTGTTTTTTTCAAAAAATAAAATTGAAAACCTATACTAGAATTGATTTGAAACAAGATGCACTTATTTAAATTAAAAAATATGAAGAAAAACTTAGGTGGTACCTGAAGCAATACTCTTTTTTGGGGTGGGCAGTGAATGTGCTAGAGAACAGAATAACTGAACAGAGTAGCATTATTAAACATTTCGTGGAGACAAACAAACAACAGGAAAGTGAGGTTAAAAGTACATACAAAGCAATGCTAACTTAAAAGAAATTGAAAAAAGGGAAAAATAGAAATACAGGGATATACCAATGTACACAATCAATATATAACGCAATTGAAACAAATAATCTTGGACTGGGTATGTTTTTGGATCTATCCAAGGCCTATGATTGCTTAGATTCCAATATTCTAATAAAAAAATTTGAATGGAATAAGAGGCAAAACCTTGTATTGGTTTAAATCATATTTTAGAAAAAGAAGACAATTAGTGGAAATACAAAAGAATGGTGGGTCATATAAATTAGATACTTTACAAACAAAACTAGGAGTTTCACAGGGCAGTGTTATTGGTCCTGTGTTATTCATTATATATATAAATGACTTGACAAGCATTACAAAAGGAACTGACCTCTGCATGACAAACTACACAGACGATACAAACCTTCTGACATTTGATTGATATTACCTAAAATTATTAGCAAAGAGTGGTAAATTGTTTTCAATGGTTCAAAAATGGATCACTGAAAACAATCTCATTCTTAATGCAGAAAAACCAATATAATACTTTTTAAATCCAACCACTGGTCTCTTGAAACGCCCAAAGACTTAAAACTAAATAAACAAATAATTCAATATAAGTCAAATTCAAAATTTTTAGATATATACATTCGACTGGGCCAAAAAAATCACCTATTTTTTTTTTTAAAGTATATTGAAAATATGGTTTGGTGTGACAAAAAAAATTATTGTGAAAGTTTGAGTCCATAATATTAATAATAAGAGGTCTATCGTCGCAATTTTAGGCTCAGAACTCCCAAACCATTGAGTTTAACAAAATTGACTTAAAAATATTTTTTTAAGAAAATTAAATGCTCTACAAAAAAGGTTAAAGTGAAATTTTCCATCAGATGAACCGTTTCCTTAAAATCATGCCTTAAAAATTGGTATAGTTTTACATTTTGATCTTTTAAATTGGAATTTTGTAATTCATGTAAAAATCAGTACCCATAAAAAACCGATTAATATTCTTATGGGAAATCAAATGCTTTACAAAAAAAGCCTCAATTTTTGGATAAATTCACTCAATCAAAAGTTATTCAAGGTTAAAATTTCGTTTTGACTTCAAATTTAACCTTGAATAACTTTTGATAGAGTGAATTTAGCCAAAAATGATAAAAGACTTTTTTTGTAGAGCATTTGATTTCCCATAAGAATATTTATCGTTTTTTTTTCAGGGTACTGATTTTTACTTGAATTACAAAATTCCAAAGTTAAAAGATCAAATTGTAAAACTATACCAATTTTTAATTCATTATTGTTCATCTGACGGGGAATTCCAATAAAACCTTTTTGTAGAGCATTCCATTTTCTTCAAAAAATATTTTTAATATATACTTTCGATTTTTTTGGCTCAGTCTAATATACATTGATGAAAATCTGTCATGGAACCAACATATAGAATATCTGACAAACAGACTGGGATCTGTAACGCATTGCATAAGAGTGTTTTCAAAATATATGAACCAGGAGGCATTGAAAATAATCTACCACCCAAATTTTATATCTATAATGAGATATGGAATAATCTTCTGGGGTTCAAATGTATCTGGTCTTGAAAATATTTTTGTCATGCAGAAGAGAGTAATACGTGTATTGTTTAAAAAAACTTTTAAACAGTCATGCAGGAGTCTGTTTCGAGAACATAACTTTCTCACTGCCAGCGCCTTACACATATACGAATGCCTTATGTTCTGGTGGGACAATAAACATTTATTCTTAAATTATAAACCAAATCATAACTTTGATACAAGAACGGTAGATTATAACTACCCTCGCCATAAGAAAACGTCAACTGAAAATAGTGTACTGTATAAATGTATTAAATATTATAATGAACTGCCTAGAGATATAAAATTTTTAAATAATTGAAATAAATTTAAATTTTTTATACAATATAATAGATAATTTTAAGTAACTTTATATTGATTTTTGAGCTTGACGTTTTTTATATTATATTTCTTTGTATCTTTCCTTATACTATGTAGATGTTTTATAAAATAAATAAATATTATTATTATTATTATTATTATTATATGCCTATACTTTTTTTATAGAGCAAAAGAGCCAATACGGACCTAAATAATACTCTATTTATATGTTAATAATAGGTATATAATCGCAAACAATTCCAAAATCTAAAAAAAATACTTAAGGCGTAAAGCCAAAACGTGTATTACAGAGCACGTAGTCCTTTCAACGCTTTGTTTTAGTCCTAGTTTTGTTTAAGATTATCATTGCGTTCATACAAATTTCAAATCCTAAATAAAGAGCTCAAAATTTTAAATTAGTCCCTGATTATCTTTATTAAAGTTCAGAATGGGCACTAGTTTAGTACATTTTATGTATTTCAAACAATTCAAATTAAAAGGATAGCTCTATTTTCTCTGTATGTAAAGCTTAGAATAACGAGTTTTCTCTTTTATATAGAGTATAAACTTATATTTATTTAATTATCAATTGGACGGGGTGTACGATATTCCTTGTAAGAATTGGGACGGAAGCTACGTGGGACAGAACAACGCAGTCTTGAAACAAGAAAAAACATCTTCCTCAGCTGAACACGTCCGAAAAACTTCCCATGAAATTGACATTGAAAAAACAAGGGTCTTGGCTACATATGCATCATCGCACACAGGACCAAACGTAGCAATTGAAATGGAAAAACGTCCCAGAAACCTCACCACAAGAGACAATTCACAGAGACTACCAACTGCATGAAAACCAGCTCTTACAACCAGTAGCGTGTCAAATTTTTTGGGGGCCCCCCCGCCAACTTTTTTTTGAGGCCCCCTATGTCACTATTATATTTTCCAAAAGTAACCCATTATAGTAAATATCATATCTAATAGTTAAAAAACACAGCGAATTTTTGAAACTAAATTTATATCTATAAATTATTATATGTTATTATAATATAGGAGGAATGATTGAAAAGTTCTAAAAAAAAATTTCTTCTAATACAAGGAAAACATACAACAAATATTTAACTAATAAGTACAAAGATATGGAATTAAATATGCATTATTTTAAAAACTACTTATAAAATATCCTAACGTTTGTACCTTAACGAAAGGAACTTGTCAACTATTTTGTCTAAATCTACATCTTTAGCTCGTTCATTTTCTACTGAGATTATGGCCAATGAGCTAAGGCG